ATCTTCGGTCATTTTCTGTATAGCTTCATCGTCAATCGTTACCATTGTAATTCCATGACGTCTTGCTTGTACTGTGTATACAAAAGTCGTTCGTATCTCAAACGTTCGGCCACGAGTTTTTGTTTTAAGATTTTTTCACTGGTTTTGGGTGGCTCTTTTTTGGCTGTAATCCTGGATTAACTGAAAGGAATACAATATTTTGAAAATTAATTATCACTGCAGTTTAGCCTGGCTAATCAAACTTGACGTTGCCTGAAAGAAACATTCCCCTGTAGCAGTTATTCAAAAATTGTACAAAATGAACAGATAGATATGAAAACATACTTTGTGGGTAATCATGTTATATAATTATTTTAATTTAATCATTCAAATCAGCAAAAAAATTACTTACCAGTGGACTGTTACAACTAGCAGCCAAGACTCGTGATTTACAGACTAACACTAATTAAAACGGCGTCCATCCGCTCACTCTGCATCTTTGTGGACTTTCCATCGGGTGTGTTCGTTTTCACAATGAGAACAACCGCGCCAATGTGTTGTATAATTTTAGCGCCATTTCCAAGTTGTGGCTGGGGACTGTTCAAAAAATTTGGGGACAACATTTGGATTTCAGTTTCTTAATTATTTTTTTATTTTAAAAATGTAATTGTTGTTTTTAAAGATACTTAGAGTATCCCAGTATTATTTATATATAATTTAATCAGTAATATACATTAATAATAGCAAACATTTGTCATAAGGCGTACTGAAAATGGGACACGACAGGGGTGTTTGAACTGCATTAAATTTAATATTACAGTATTATAACGGGTGCGCCATTTACTTTTTTTTTACCTATAAGTTTGTGTTACCATGTAGTTATGAGGTATGCATAAATGAACTGTCAAAGGTATGCCATTTATAGTCATGGATTCGTTTACAACAACAACGCATTTTGGTTATCCAAACTTACGAAAACGGTCGAAATATAAAAAATACTTTTCGCAAACTTCGCACTAGTTTTGGCCGACATGGACGCCCTACAGACCCTGGAATTCGTTGGATTGTTAATCGTTTTGAGGAAACTGGTTCAGCTGAAGGTCGTAGACCATACCAACATGCTCGTCCAGCTCGTACTCGTGAAAACATAGCCGCAGTGAGTGAAAGTGTGCGAGAAGATCCAACCACCTCGACTAGGCACCGTTCGCAACAATTGGGAATTAGTGAGACCACTTTTTGCCGGATTTTACACATTGATTTACACCTCCATCCATACACAATCCAACTAACACAAGAATTGAAGCCGTAAGACCCTCAACAGCGGCGTGTTTTTGTTAATTGGATGCTGGAAAGAGAAGATGGATTTTCGGCCAAAGTGCTCTTTTCTGATGAGGCTCATTTTCACCTCAATGGGTGCGTAAATAAGCAAAATTGCAGATTCTGGGGGGCTGAAAATCCACACCAATATCATGAACAACCTCTCCATCCTGAAAAAGTGACTGATGCGGATTATGGGCTGGTGGCCTCGTTGGCATTCTTCTTTGAAGATGCAGAAGAAAAGGCCATTACCGTCAACGGGAAACGTTATCGCGGCATGTTAACAGACTTTTTGTGGCCACAATTGGATCGTATTGGTGCCGACGATCTTTGGTTTCAACAAGATGGAGCAACGTCTCACACATCTCGCCAAACAATCGCCTTATTGCACACGAAATTTCAAGACCGCATAATTTCACGAAATTCAGATGTCAGTTGGCCCCCGATATCGTGCGATTTAACACTTCTTGACTATTTTCTTTGGGGATTTTTGAAATGAAAAGTGTATGCGAATGGTCCCGGGACAATTCAAGACCTAAAGCGCAATATTCGGACTAAAATTGCGGCCATAGACCTGATTATTCTGGGAAAAGTCATTGAAAATTTTGATGTTCGGATGTTGGCTTGTAAACGAAACCGCAGTGGTCACATGACTGATGTTATTTTTCATACATAAATGGCATAAACCAACCTTCATTTATCAATAAAATATTCGATTTCACCTCGTAAAAAGCATGTTGATTTTTCAAATAGAAAAAAAAAGTAATAGATGACGCACCCTGTATTAGTAAATTAACAATGGCGTATCAAGAATAGCTAATGAGTCATTGGTGCTATTACGTAGACCTTAGTAATAATAAGTTCTATTATATAAATTTTGCCTGGGACTGCTATTTTCCAGTTAGTGGAGAAATGATCAATAGATTTTTTCAAATTTTCTATGTATAAACAAAGGAAGGTTGAAAACGGGGGTTCCGGACTTGCTTTGGAAAAACGGATGGTAACGGTAACCTTTTTGGTCTTCGGTGATTTCTACGAATAATAAATTTTTCAAATTTGCTGTGTATAAACAGTGGTCCGGACTTGCTTTCGGAAAACGGCTGGAAGGGTGTGATAGAATAGGTTATGTTGATGCAAATACTACAAAAAACTTGTAGGTCTTCAGCCATTTTGATGAATAATAGGCTATTTTTAAAATTCATTATATGAACAAGGGGGGGGGGGGTCAGAAGCGGGGGGTTCCGGACTTGGTTTGAGGAAACGGCTGATAGGGTGTGATTGACTAAGGCATATTCATGCGAGAAGGGACAAAAACATTTTGGTGTTGGACGGTTTTAAAAAGCTAATAGATGATTATATAGCTTCTAAAATATTAAGTTTTAAAGGGGATCAATTTGGGGTGTCTGTGAACGAGATAGCACGCATTTCTTGTGATGTGATGTAATATCAAATTTTTCGCGTTACTCCTCACATTGAGGAAGTTTTTGGAGGAGGGGGGTAAAACTTTTACAGTACATAGAAAGACATTAATACAATCGAACTACGTGAAAACCGCATCGATTTATGTTTATTTGACCCAAATTACGTCGGTAGAAATGGTAATGTCAAATTTTCGGCACTGCTGCCTTTTTACCGTTTCAGCCGCATCAATACTAAGCATGTTTTTAACATATTTACGAAAGCTTTAAGATCGGTTGCAAAAAGTGATAAATGAACCAGTACGACCATCTTACTCTCCCACAATCCCTCACATCAAAGTTTATGATGTACTAAGAGTCAAGTATCCAATCTAGTCGTTGCGTGGTGTGTAGGTTAATCTAGTTTATAAACAAACTGCATTTGAAAAAACAAAATTGGCATATTCCTAGAGCAATCTATTTCATATGAGCATCTTCAAAAGATCATATTGATGCTATGCCGTCGTCCTTGATGTTTCTTTCCATCAGAGCTGCATATTTTTGTTTATATCGTGAAAAGCCGACTGGTCCGGAGTTCTATTATTTTAGTCCTGTTGCATGAAATTTGAGTAATATAGGAACATTTTGCACCTTCCACGTTCTCTCTTGTGTGTTCCACATTTGGTTGATTTTTCTAGCGATGCTTCGAGACTTGGCTTGTTCCTGGTACTCACCATACTAGGCCCATTTTACCGAGTACCCATTTTTGCATTACTCGGGCGGGTAATTACTCGGTGTGAACGCAACTTTTCTAAATCGAAGAACTGCAAATGTGTAAAATTTGAGTTCATATGCCTTTCCCTAGCCTACCTTCTTTTTTCTCCAAGAAATTAAAGCACCATAAAAAAAGGATAGTCAAGGTTACAGCATATTTTTGTCAGAATTAGTTGCCTGATTTGGAAGATTATTCAGTAAATATGATGTTACTACCACATGTTTTTTCATAAAAAAATACGCTAGTCCATGAAGCTGCTACTATAGGAAACTGAAACCACATCGTATTATTGCCTTGTACTATTTATTTGGTCTTTTATCCTTCATAATATGGACACTCAAAAACCAACAAAAACCACAAAACATAAACGATTCAGGAAAACACAAAAAGTAACAGGAATAATGACTATTCCAAATTTCTGCAAACTCATTTGTTTTTTTTTTGTTGATCTCCTACTAAAGCCAGCTCAGAAATGTATAGGAATTAAGTTCAGTGTTTGTGATGGCAATGACACAGCAGCGATTATTATTAGGCAATTTTTCGAAAATTGGGCAGCTTAGGCCATTGCTTTGTCTATCTTCAATAAGAGTGTATGTTTAAAATGCCTCGTTTGTTATTGAAGAGATTGAAAAGTATATCAAAAACAATTCTTCCAAAAATATATGTTTTCAATTTTAACTAATTATTGTAGCTGCTGAATTCCAAAGTGAAAAACGTGACCAGCATTTGTGAGACGCTTTACACATTTAATAAATCAAAACTACTGAAAAATACTGTAAATACACCAACCTATGATTTTACTTTTTATCTAAGCTAAGCTAGCTCAAATTTTTAGAAAAGTAAATCAATTTTAAGAATGAGTAACCTTAATATAACTAACGCTATGTGAAATGTCTCAGAACAAATCACTCCATGAGTACCCGACACTGGGTGTTTTAACCTGACTGTGTACCTGGTACTCGACCTTTTGAAAAAAGTAATACTGCGTGCATTACTAATTTTCATAGCACAAGCCCTAAAATGCTTATCAACAGCCAGGCAGACATTTTTATTGGCTCCAATGTCACTCGATCATATCCACAAAGAAATCAATGGAGTGTTTAGTTGAAATTTAAAATTTCTAGATTAAACTTGATGGCGACATCCCCGGTATAATTCAGTGAATGCTTACTATCTATTCACATAGTCTCATCAAATTCATTTGAATGAGGAAACCATGAAATACATCAGTTGAAATGAATTTTTTTGGTTCATTTTAATGACATCTGTCAACAGGTGTATTATCAATCTATACATAAATATTTTTTTAAATAAACTATTGAAAATTAAAAAGCACACAAAAATAACAGATAAACTTCTTAATTCTTGTATTTTAAATGCATTCCCCAAATAATATCAAAAGTCTATTAAGCTCTTCTTCCTTGAGGTATAAAGCTAAAAGCACCCTACTAATTACTGAAACTAAGGTAAACAAGTGCTTAAAAGTTAGTGAGCTTTTGAAATTATCATTTATCTTAGAATGTTTGTTTTAGCTTGGTATTTCAAAATTTCTAAATAATGGAATCAAAACAGACACTACTGGCCGTGGTTAAACAGGAGTGCAGTGAAGATGATGTTATAGATTTGGGTGAGTTGGTGAATTATCTACTACCTTATTGATTTGATTACAACATCCCTTGAGTTACAGATTGTCGATAATTTTTTGTCAGGTATTTTTACTGGTATCTATAATTCGGTGTAGTATCTCAGGAACAATTTTAGTGTGAAAATTGGCTGCTAACTCCACACAAATGTCCAGAGGAATTGCTGCTAGAAACTGGCCTAACCTAGTTAGAAATGAAGTTACAAGCTGAAAATCAATTAGCAGCTATAAGGCCATGTAGATCCCATCCTCTTCGGACTAGTCGAAGGGGTTGATTTCACCTCACTAACGTCAACAATACGTTTCTCTGTTGCATTTTTCACTTAGCCAGAAAATAAGTTACAGGCTAAAAATTGAAGAAAATGTTCCTTTCATTAGTAGCTATAAATCCATGTAGATCGCATCTTCGGACCCGCTGAAGGGGTTCCAGATATTTGGGTATGTATTTGTTCTCAAGATTATATTGAAAATGATGGAAAGTGGTTTAGCTACCACGTGTATACAGTCTCTGACAGTAAAGCTTGGAAGCAGATCAATTCCAGATGTTAATTTATTATGCGACAATTTATTATATCATGAGGGGTGTCCAAAAACTTGTCATCAATTTTCATTACTCCCGGGATTCTAGTTGTCCTATTTTTACTCTTCACAAACGCCCAGAACTTTGACGGGTCTGAGTAGATGAAGTGTTCAATGCTTTGGACGAAAGCTGCATAGGGGGTTTTAATTTCATTTTTGACTAATCTCCTTAAATCCTTAATTTTTTTTTTTATGATATTCTGTCTTAAATTTTCTGAAGTCCTTTCTAGCCTTGTCTTTCTTTTTTATGTTAGATATTATGCTAGGGTTAAACCAAGGGGGATATCTTCCAGAGTTGTTTTTATATTGGGGAACGTTGGCTTCTAGTAAACCGTTAATTTTGTTGTAAAACCTGCTACACATATCATTGACGTTTGATGGGCAGGACTGTAGAAATGACCAATCGGCATTGAGCATTTCATTGTATAAAGAGATAACAGTTTCAGAGTTGTACGCGTTATTCACTGTTGTATTGTCGATATCAAAGTCAGCAACAACTGCCTGGTGACACCTATCTTCGTTAACCAGAGGATGATTGTCTTTATTAACGATACAGGTACTAATTGCACAATATCAAATCAAGAAGTCTGCCGTCAGTATTTGTTATATTATTAACATTAGATACATCTATTTCTACATTTCGAGTCACTTTACATCAGCATTAAATTTAGCAGAATTAAAATTTCCACTAATTATAAAAGTGGCACCATCAAATAGGCTATTGAACGACTCAAAGGCATCAACAATCAATTCAAACGCAGCTACAGTCATTGTCGGCGGTATATATATATATATATATATATATATATATATAAAATAGGGAAATAATTGGCAAAATGCGCAAAAAGAGGAAAAGTGGATTCGAGCAGAAAATAGCATATTTAACCCGAGCGATATGTATTTCATCCTAAAACCGGCCGCGTGGTTGTGGTTAGATGTCGCCTTGAAAATTCGAGGTCTTCTAGCCATTTTATACTACAATGTGCAGGTTGGCTCTTGTTGTGAACTTCGTGTCATTCTTTTCCTCTCTTTATGGGCATGTGTATCTACTTTTGTAGTTGCGTATGTGCACTCATTTCCAAAAGAAGGGAAGTTGATTCGAGCAGATAATTTCAAGGCCTACCTAGGAAATACTGCTTTTTTGAAATAACCAAGATTTGGCAATGTAAACATTGACAACGTATGGTATATTTTTGGAATCAGAATTAAAAACTCTATTCAGCTGTGCAAAAAGCCAATATGGCGTCCATAAGAAAAAATAATGATCATGATGGGGGACAAGAGACGATATGTCATAATGGATTGCTACTTAGGCCATCTTGTTAAGGAGAAAAAGTGACAATGTTAATGTGCAATTTATTTTGAAATCGCACAACAAATAAAGTCGGGAAAGAATTAAAACGATTTTGGAAAATTCGATTTTTTCCATCTTTCTCCGGAAGTACTTTGAATTTCGAAAATTTCTGAGCTGAATTTTGTTAATTATTATCTAAATACACAACTTTGCCCCCGTTTAAGCGTCGTAACATATAATGATAAATCGATATTGTGTGGTGATCGCCAAATGAAATTCCGCATGACGTTATTTGCTTATCTGGTTTACCTCATCAAGCTCTTTCATTTGATACCCATAGTATAGGGTTAACTATGGAAATTGTAAATCGCCATTTTGCGGTGGATGCCATATTGGATTTAGAATGACGCCACTTTGCTTATTGCATTTCTCTCATCAAGTTCTTTCATTTACGGTCGTATCGTCAGTACAGTTATAGGACGCCTTTATGGCCTCCTTGATTTCCATCTTGCATCTTTCAGTAAAGCACGTGTGTGACTGCTTTAGATTTCCTCTGCCGACAGTTGTGATGATAGGTTTGCTTTTTTTGACGTTTAAGAATTTTTAGACAGATGAATCTAATGCCGAAGCATAATATATATTCCTGCAAATAATGTTGATCAGTCAACAATAATTGCCTAGATTGACCAAATTCCACAAGGAGTGGTATCTTCAAATCACATATGTGGTATTGACCTGAAAATGAACAATTTAATGCAAATGGATGCGTATTTATATATAAAAGCCCAACAGCTTACAACCAAGCTGTTCCATTGATGAAGGTAGGTAACTTACTTTTGTAATTTTAAATCATTTATATATTTATCGCATTTTTTAGATGTGATTCATTCTCACAGACTTTATGAGATGTTGGTTCCTCCATGGATAAGAAACATTGTATGACAAGTGCAATTATATTTTTGATGTCAGAGATGCTTTTCCACAAATCATTGTGCCAGGCTACAAGTATGTATGCTGTGTATCTGAAGATCATAATTACTTTTGACCATCGCTATTTCAGGATGCTCAAAATACCATAGTCATGTAGGATTACCAAAAATGAAGTATTACAGAGAGTAAACAGAATAATAGAGTTGCAGCATGAAGTAAAATCAGAAAAACATGACATAAAATTCCATAATTAATTACAAATCGGAAAATACGTGTACAAGAAAATTGTGAATCATCAAGGGAATTACTTTCATAACACGTTCGCTGCCAGTAAAATGTTGTTACATGTAGTCAGGAGCCAAGAGGGTTTTTAATTTTTTGTTTGCCTGAAAATTGCTTTAAATGATACTAAAAGAGAGATATATTGTAATTATCGAATATTTTCTTACCTAAATACAAATATTTTATGGTCGAGATGGCGACACTGGCACTACAGCTAGAATTTAGGATAAACCGCGTACGTAAGTTCTCAAAAATGTCTAACCTGTATGCCTATTCACCCGTCCGAACTATACTAGCGAGCCACCTGAACTGAAGCCTGAAGCACCATATAATAATAGATTACACGCGTTGCCGTACGGCGGCGGAGGCACAGCAGTTTAGATATCAGTGTCGCCAATAGGCGGCAGTGGCATTGAACGTGTTAAACAAATTCCAAACACTTCAAAGGACTAGATAAGCTGAAAAGACCCATTATTTTGAAAATGGTAGGTACCTCAAAATGAGACTAGGTTAAGCCCTAATAGGATAATTGCATTGTCATAATTAACTTATCATTGCAGGTAGATAGATGCTGCAAGTAGCAAATTAAAATTCACAACATTATCCTGAACTTAACATGTAAGATTCATTTTAGGCAAAAATGACCTTAACCTAACCTGGCTCTGAGGTACGGAATATGATTAATTTGTATATATTCCTAGTTCAGTTCTCGTATTTAAACTGCTGCGTATAAATTTTGGATTCAAATTGCTATCAATAATGGAAACTTCAGCTACTGAGTATACTAAAAAAATATATCTGGCATCATCAATAACAAGGAGATCGATGCAATGAAGCGCAAAGGATATGTTGTATGTATCAAATGTGTTGCACCATATATCAACGTTGGAGCATCTGGTATATAAAAAAAGTGAGGAAACTTACTACACTACACTTTCTTTTCCAATTAGTTTGTTAGTCGACTTGGAATCTTAACCTAAAAGTTAACATCTGTTAAAACTGTGGCATAGGAATGGAAAACGTTTTCTAGTTAAGAAAGAAATATCAAAAATTGAACAGGTTTTGATATTTGAAACACTCATATCGAAAGCAGAGTTTGCTAGTTATGGTAGACAGTAAAACAATATGAAACCTTTTGCTCAAAAGTCTGCATTTATCTCTTGCAGTATTAGTAGCTTTAGGTCCATTTTAAGATGAAAACTTCATATGGTCGTGTGTCCCACCTTTTAAGACAAAAATAAATGAATATCTGTAATACTCCTTAATGATATCTGACATACATGTACCCGTGTCAAGAGGCATTTTATAATTTCACCTGCCTATTTTGATAGACAGTGATTTCTCTTATTGAAATTTTCAATCGCAAAAATCACTTGATTTTTTTGCAATCTGATGCACGGTTTTCAAAAAAATAAAAACTGTTTCTCTCTTCGATCATAGCAATATTATTAAAATGACAATATCACCATGCAGATAAATTTTAGGTTGTAAATTGTGGGTCGGACATGGAAAAATTGAATTCATTTGTCTGACGCACGGTTTCCACCTGAAAAATACAATATATTTCTCGACATAGTGACATTGTCATACTAACGATATTAGGATCACGCAAAGAAACGTTATTTTATTTTTTCATACCGTGCATCGGAGTGAAAAAAAATATGCAATCAAATTTGTTTATAAATGACCGAGGAGTTCAAGAGTAGTTTTTATTTTAAGAGAAATCAGTTTCATACTCTCCTCATTGTCTGCCAAACTAGGCAAGTGAAATCGGTGCGAACTTCGCTGGCGGAAATTAAAAGAACATTACAATACCTCTTGATAGTACATATATGCCGAATTTCAATAAAGTATTTAAAGTGTTATTGCAGATCTTGTTCTTGACAAAAAAATTATTGATTAGGACATACGATTATATGAAGTTTTCTTCTTAAAGTGGAACCAAATAACCCTAAAAATTTAAGTAAATCTAAAGTTATTAAAGGTTATTGTAGTATTGTAGTTTTTCATTTTGGATATGTTTTTTGGCAATTTATTTGTTCATACTTCCTATTATTAGTTGTACCTTTTAGATATAAAGACATTTGATTAGTGATACTTACGTGTGTTGACATACTATCTATGAATTCCTTAACAATTTCATGTATTATATTTTTCAGTTACCAAGTATTTGCAGATTATATACTGAAGTAAAAGAATACTTTGTAAAATAAATATTTTTTATTCTCCATTGTACACCCACAGAAATATAATAGGTTCATTCAAAAATATCTAGAAATACAGATTTCATCAATTTTTTCTCTAGCATGATTAACTAGATTGTATGCTATTTTCAAAATTACAAGCTCTGTAAACAGGGCTGAAAGGAAATATAATCAATTATAAACAAAACTTTCTAGCTTCGGGGTGCATTAGATCATCTTTGGAAAGTTAATTTAAATTAACTGTAGGTACCAAACTTTTTGAAATATCCAATTTAAATAGACTGACTCTTCTTTTTCCTCTAATGACGTTCCTTGCACTGGAATTATTTTGTCCTGGAACAGTATCTTGTACCCTGGGCTTGTCAGGATCGGATATATCTTTGAGCATTGCAAGTAGATCTGAAAAAATACCATTAAAGGTATTGGTGATTTCTTACGTTTTACTCCTAAGGCCTGATATAACCGTAAGTATGAAAATATGTATTTCGTATAGCCTTTTTGTTACATCATTGGAATTTTGTTTTTGTCATCATTTGCCACTGTGCTGTCACTTAGGTATGTGAAGTATTCAATCTCAAACCCATGCCATTAGCTTTGTGAGATTTTGTCAAATAGAAATGTCGATTGAAATATTCAAGAAGGCACTTTATTGAGTTTCGGGTGACATTTTAGCTATATCACATGCAACATGAACCATTGCCCAGGCCTAACAAAGCTCCTCTTGAACTTGATAGCTCTTAACTTTTAACAAATTTAAAAATTGCAGTGTAACACATATCAGCCACAAAAAGCAAATTCACGTTTTGTTTTTGTAAGATTGACTCTTTCAAATATGTTTTCTGCATAAATTCCTTAGGAATGTCATTCACCTTTTTATGAGTTTTGTATGCAACATCAGGATAGTTTATATCTGCAAAAAAGATACATCAATTCAACCTTATATAATAATAATTTTTAGAGATATAGTCTCAAATTTTTAGGTTAAGGTTCCCACTAACATAAAACATCAGATAGAGCAGGAGATCACGTTTAAATGCAATTTCAGAGCATTTGAACATTATACATACTTGTAGCCTGACACTCTACATAATCCAAAGTCCAACAATGATTTGTGAACAGGTATCTTCGACATCATCAATGCAGTTGCACTACAATGTTTCTTATCCAACAACTCATAAAGTCTGTGAGAATGAATCACATCTTAAAAAAATCCGATAAGTTATAAATATTAATATGCAATGATCAATTTTGTAACTTACCTTCCACCATCAAGGGAACAGCTTGGTTGTAAGTTGTTGGGCTTTTATATATAATTAGACATCCATTTGCATTAAATTGTTCATTTACAGATCATTATTACCAGATATGGGATTTGACGATACCGTAGCTTGAGGAATTCATTCAATGTATTGAATTATTATTGACTGATCAACATTATGTGCAAGAAAATATGCTTCAGTATTTGATTCATCTGTCTAAAATTTCTTAAACGTCAAAATAGAATATAACCTATCATCAGAATTGTCGGCTCGTTAAAAATCTAAATCAGCCCCACAAGTACCTTACTGAAGGAGACATGATATTATGGAAATCAAGGAGGCCATAAAGGCGTCCTACAATTGTAAGAACGACTGACGATACGGCCTTTAGTACCCAAAATTGGGTCTTAGATACTCTGCATCTCACCGCTCGGAACTCAGGTTGGATTTTTTAAATAATACATGTGTGTTTAATTGTCTATTGCTCTATATTGATAAAATCTGGAGCGAAGTAGAGTGCAGAAGTTGGATGGTCGGATATAAAAAGCTAAAGGATACCGGCGGGGCAGCATCGTCAGTTGGGATTGTGACCACTATCTCATGGTTGGTCTAGTGACGGCCAGCAAGCCGATCGCGCCCTATGTCCTCGCTGCTGCCTGCTGTCTCCGAACTCATTAAATAATCTTAGAAAAAACTGACAGACTCAGCTCGGCCCCTCTAAATCACTTCCTCCCTGGCTGCCGCTTTGGCTTTTTCTGCGGCTGTTGCGTTGCTCTCCGCGCGACCATAACTCAGACCTGCATCAAGGGCAGATCTGGGGAGAGGCAGACACTAGTATTTAAATATTTGATTTTTATACATGTTTTCTCGGCATATTTTAAATAAATAAAATAAGCTTGTTTTAGATCAAGATACAGAGTTTGTCCGGAAAGTAATAGGACTCATTTTCTTCCGCCATGACTGTACTTCGGCGCGTGCGCGTGCCGACTGGATTCGGTAGAGGGCGTTCGTAGCTAGCGAATGAGCGGCTGGTCAGTTGTCTCCGAGCAGTTGGAGAGTCAGGACAGGCATTTTCGCGCAACGTGTTTCTGTGAGTGGTGCAAGCCGAAAATGCAGCGTTCGTTAGAGCAGAGGTACGCGATTAAATTCTGTGTGAAACTCGGTAAATCTGCGACAGAGACGTTTGATATGATCAAGCAGGCTTACCCAGGTGTTGCTTTAGCAAGAAGTGGTGTGTTTCGGTGGCACCAGGCCTTTTTGGATGGCCGGGAAGAGGTCGCTGATGAAGACCAAAATTTGGATCCGACAAGACATCGCAGCCGACTGGAAGTTGCACCACGACAACGCCTCGACTCACACCGCCTTTCCTGTGAACAGCTACCTGACCAAGGCCGGCATCCCAACGCTTCCGTAGCCGCCCTACAGCCCAGATGTGCCCCCCGGACTTTTTTTGTTTTCTCGCCTAAAAAGGCCGATTAAAGGCAAGCATTTTGAGACGACAGAGGAGATCCAAGCAGCATGCACCGCGGCTCTCATGGCTATTCCGGAGAATGCCTTCCGTGACGCCTTCAATGCTTAGAAATCGCGCTGGCAGCGCTTCATCGACGCAGAAGGAGTCTATTTTGAAAGTTTTTAAAGAATTGTAACGATTGGCTCAATAAATTTTTTTAAATCGACTCACTCCTATTACTTTCCGGACAAACCCTGTACAGGTTGGTGTATTAATAAAACAAGTTAAAAAAGAAATACAGCACAATATTAATTTGTCTATATACTTTTGTCCATTAATATATATTAATAAATTCAGCTACTTACTATCCTTTTTAGAAGGTCCTCCGGTGCGCTTAGTTTAGTGCACCGCCTTAAGTGCTGAAAATTATCAAAAAGCGTTCAATTTATTGATATAGAGGTACGCTACACTGCGCTTGATAGCATTCGCCAATCTTCAAGCTTTGGATAATGCTCCTATTATTAAATCGAATTCTAGCATAGCGCCCTTCTGGACACATTTCATAAAAATGTTGTTGCCTTAAAAAACATGGTCTTTTCCGTCAAAGAATGGAACTTGTTTCTACATGTTCTCTAAGCATTTAGATTAATCTTTTTTTTTAAAGACTGATTCCACGTTACGGTCATTGTGTCGAGTAACAAGGATTTGCACAACACTCGAATAATATAGATACCAGACCATACAAAAACTGACTCAGATATCATGCGTATTCAAAGTCCATTTGTGCAGAATTGCGTAGGCAGTACAGAGTTAATCTACTTGGCGCCATTTTTTTGTTCCAGATGAATATATATCCATAAAGAAAGAAGCAGAGCAATGGGATGCAAAAGTCAGGAGACAGTTGCAAGACATGATGGCATTTGAATCAGAAAGGAAGCTAGATAGGGCGATGAAGTGGTATCTAGGGTAAGATCAACATGAGCTCTATTAGTAACCAGCACTAATTTTTGTCTTTCCTCCTTATTTTTTGCGTTTGAAAGAATTTATCAAACAAGATCAATATGTTTGTAAACAGGCTGTCCAAGATAAGGATCCTATGCATGGGGATGTCAATACCTGTGGGAGATTCAGCTTAGGTTAAATCGCTGTTGAGAAATTTGTAAAAATTTCATGGCTTACTGAGGTTTTTGGGGAAAAACTAAAATTTGTCCAAAAATTTATTTTGAACTTTATTTCAAGAAATATCAAAAAACTAATGGAACCAAATTATAGTTTTCCAAAATATCTCGGTAAGCCGTGAACTTTTTACAAATTCCTCAACGGCATGAACGCAACTTCTCCATAATTTAACCTAGGCTGTATCTCCCACAAGTATTTAGATCCCCATGCATAGAATCCTTATTTTGGGCACCATATATAATACCGACAGAATGGAGGAAAATGCCCATTCTACTCCCGAAAATTTCCAGATTAATATAATTAAAGCTGCTGGAAGGGGTAGCAAAATATAAATGCTACTGGACTTGATTTGTGCCTTTTTGTAGAGAAAAATATCCATTTAGACAAACAAGGAACAGGAATAACGAGTATCTGTGTTTCTGCAAAGAAACTCTTTACTCCAAAAGTCAGCTCAGAAACCTTCAGAATTTGATGTGATCATGATGGCCATGACACGGTAGCGATTTTATTGTTATTTTTACAAAATATGAGCAACTTGGGTCCTAGCGTCAGCCATCTCCAACAAAAATGTTTAAGGAGGCGAGTGTATACCTTTTAAACATCTCACCAACTCTGATGTATCAGGAGGGAGCCAAAAGTGTATAAAAAACAATTTAACGAAAAATGTAATGAAAAAATATAATTTCAATTTGAACTCGATGTTGTAGAAGCTGAATTCCACTATGAAAAACATTTGCCTAGTTGGCGCAAGACTATATACATACTACATACTATGTATATTTGAAAATCAAAACTTCTGCAAATACCGTAAATATTGGGCAATGATTTACTCATGAAAAATTGTCTAAGATACACAATTGCGATAAGTAAATCAATTTTGAGGATAAGGGGGGGGGGACCTAAATATAAAATTTCTATTACTAATAGTAGGTGAAATAACGCAGAGTAGATCACTCCACCAATTACCCAGCACGAGTATTACGTATCTTGAAAATTGGCATTATATCTTTTTTTTTTTGATATTATATTGGTTTTTCGTGACATTATGTAGGTTTTTCTACAAGATGTTAACTTAGTGTTGTCTAAACGTCACGAGGCTTCAGTTATCAATGTTTGGCTCTGATGTGATGAAAAATGTGCCTCAGAGATAGTATTACTGGAGGTAACGGCAATGCATAGGTGCATAGTGAGGATTTGTGTGCGAATAATGTGTTGATGATAATTCCATTGGATTCTTGTATCAAATACATTTACTCGAGATTCAAAGCTAAAAATTAGTTGCACATCCACTTTTTATTATCCATTCTGGAAATTACATATGCGAATTTGCTGCATTTCAAACTGAAAGAGATAATTATATTCACTGTACACTGTGGAAATACAAGCCATATACATGCTAACAGTAATTACACACAACGCGGGTGCGGTGGTGATTTCCCGTAATTCTCAAAGTTTTTGAAAACACAAAAGAATCGTAATTTATAACTTTTAATCTAATCTGTCTTCAGAAAGGACAACATATAAATAGCCCGTCTGGCACAGCTAATAGATATACGCCATTCCTCCATAGATGGACGCTCACAACGTTCCTAGAGAGCACACGAGGAATGCATGTTTGCAACCTAAAAACCACCTAGACATTTTATAGTTTTTTTTGACGTTTTATAGGTTTTTTACATAATTCCCGTGCGGTACTCGGAATTTTAATCTGACGGAGCACCCGGGCCTCTGCCTTTTGAATAAAGTAGTAGTCGGCACCCCTATCTCTGACACGTTCTAGAAGATGATTAAACATTTGTATGACTTTGTGCTCTGGAGACTTTTGACACCTTGTTATTTGGCATCACCGTTGTATCTGGTATTATGATCACGATGCATTCTAAACCTACCAATATTGCTCTTTGTAGAGCACTGGCAAAATTTCTCAAGTGTCACGAATAAAAATATGATCCTTCAAATTCGTAAGTACTGATTTGAAATAAGACATTTTTGTATTTTATACAGTGGCTCTTTGAATTTTTCTCTAAAGCGATATTTTTCTCTAAAGGGATATTTTTCTCTACAAAAAGACACATATTAACTCCAGTAGCATTTATGTATATTTTGCAACCCCCTCCGGCAGCTTTTGATTATACAGGGTGGGGCAGAGGAACTTGCTGATTTGAATTGGGCGCCCTAAAGTGACGGTTACTCCGACGGAACTGGGGATAGGTAGATTCGAGAGAGAGACTCGTAAAGTTTTCGCGCCGCGTGGTGTAGTCACTATAATGGAGTGGGCGAAGGTGGAACGCGCGTTCGCCGCAGAGGCCTACTTTTCTAATGGTCGGTCGATCATAGCCACGCAACGTGCATTGCGTACTCATTTCACTATCGCGTCACGTGGACGTGTTCCAGACCGGCAATTGATTCGTTCATCGGTAACCAACTTTAGGGAGGCTGGTGATGTGAAGAAAAAAAACCTAGCCTTCCACGAACAGTAAGTAAGCCCGAAAACATTGATTTGGTAAGGCGTTGTGTTTTGCGATCCCCTCGGCGCTCTATCCGCAAAATGAAGCTGCACTTCGGATATCTGCAAAGCTCTGTGACGCATCTTCCACGAAGAACTGAAGTTCCACCCCTATAAATTGGCCATAATGCGTAAAATTGATCCGAACAACTTTGTTGTTCGAGAAAATACATGTGAGTCGCTTCTTGGTCTGCCTGAAAACGCACTTGACGGCCAGAAACACGTCCACGTGGCGCGATAGTGAAATGAGTACGGAATGCACTTTGCATGGCCATGATCGAACGTCCATTAGAAAAGTAGGCCCCGACGGCGAACGCGCGTTCCAACTTCGTCCACTCCATGATAGTGACTACACCACGCGGCGCGAAAACATTACGTATCACTCTCTCTCGCCACTTTCTTCGGAGCAACCGTCACTTTAGGGAGCCCAATTCAAATCAGCAAGTTCCTCTGCCCTACCCTGTATTACTCTGGAAACTTGCGGGAGAAGAATGGGCGTTTTTCCTCCACTTTGTCAGCATTATATATGCTGTCCAAAATAAGGATCTTATGCATGGGGATCTTAATACCTGGCGATGATACAGCCTAGGTTAAACCATGAAAAAATTGCGTTCTTTCATGGTTTACCGACATATTTGGGAAAAACTAATTTGGTCAAACCATTTTTATTTTTTACTGACTTTATTTTAATAAATATAAAAAACTAATGTAACTTTTTCATTGCCACTTTTTAGGCAGCAGGTATGGTATTAAATTTTGTGTCCGTTTGTGTTCGTTTTTGAGAAATCATCAACTTTTTATACAATGACTACTGCTCTCGTATCGCGCAAACTCAAGCTTTCTATGGTCTATGAGGTGCTAAAAACAAAATTTGGAAATAGCAACAATAAACAATTAGGACACATTTCATTATTTACTGAGTCGGCGAGATTGTTACTGAAATTGTTCTTAGAAGAACACATAGTAAAACGAACAAAAAACTGGATTTATGAGGTTCGATTAGGAAAATTATTCATAAATCACTGGTTTTTCAAAAAACCACTAACGGATTTAAAAGAATTGAACCACACATCACCCATCGACTAACACCAATAAATCATATCATACACAATTGAAAGCTTAGAGGAAACGATTTTGACACTTGAGATTTCTTCCTGTCACAAGCTATTAAAAACCCTCAATTCCTCTCTTACAACATTAAAAAATAATACAGTTTCTTCTACAACTCGTCTAATTTTTAATAATTGTCAATCTATACAATTAAGGCATCATAACATCATGTTCCATAATATAAAAAAAATGTTCCGTAATATAAAAAAATCCAATATTCGCAAGTTTGACAGATTGGTAAATGAGTGTGAGAATTTTACTTGACACTTAATCAAACTGGGTGAAGAACCTTAGTAACATTAACATTCCTGATCATATTTCCAGATTTCTGTCACTATGTCCAAAGCTTAGTGTTGAGACGATCATTAACAGGGACATTCCAATCACATCCATTCTAGCTGATATAGACATAATAGCCCCCTCCATTAGTGATGAGACAAATAGGAATATTTTTACAACTCGTTTCACTAATATTACAAACTATTATCATAACAATAACATAAACAAGAGGCACTCTTTCTAACATAATCTATTGAATAAAACTAAAATATTCCTAAAACAACATCCTGAGTTAATAGTCACAAGATCGGATAAAGAAAATGTCACCGTGATAGTGCTCAGGCAACAGTATTTTGAACTATGTAATAACTTAATCGACAATGATTCTTCCTATAACGTAATCAAAAGAGACCTTAAATCACGAGTAGAGAAAGGTTGTAATGACATTGTTAATAGAATGTTCAACACTGGATAAATAAATCAGGACCAAAATAAATCATTAACCACTTACAACTCAGTCTCACCAAAATTGCATGCCCTTCCAAAAATACATAAACCAATTCTTTCAGTAAGACCTAAGTGGCATTCATTGGTTCAGCTACGCAGGCTCTATCCTCGTTAATTTCAGAGATATTAAAATCAGCCTACACTAAAGATGAATACTATATTAAAGACTCCTTTGACGTCTCTCGACAATTTAATAGGTTGCAGATACCACCTGGACGTGTTATTGCAAGTCTGGATATATTGTCACTGTTCAGTAACGTCTATTTAGAAGATGGTATCAAATCCATTTACAAACATTGAGATAAAATGTGTCAGTGGTGCAATCTAACTCTGGAATCTTTTGTCACTATTTTAGAATATCTCTTCCAGAACAATTCACTTTTAATAAATTTTTTTCACAAACACATGGTTGTCCAGTGGGATTTTTTTTTATGTGTTATGATCAGTATTATTGTTATTCGCAACGGCCGAAATCGTCTATTGCCCGATTTTTTTGCCCACAACGCGTTACGGATATAGAAATTTATCCACTATGCGATCAGGGAGCATTGGGTAAACCTTATTATCCAGAACGCATTTTGGGTAAATTACGTCACCCACAACGCGAATGATGGTTTCGTCCGCCGTGGTTTTGCTTTGTGGTGCATTTCTTTTGCCCACGTCGCGTTCTATCAAAAGGTTCACACACATTATATGATATTACATTGAAAACAAAACACTAAAGGAAATGTAGAAATAGGACAATAGCAATTTTTTGCAGCATTTTTAGCATTATTTGTTTTTACAAGAATTACTCTTGTGGCATTCGGAATCACATTTTATATTTAATTTTACACATGCACATGCCTTAGTTTGACATCCTTTCAAACAGTTACATTTAACGGCCTTCATACCTACCCCCTAAAAGACCATAATCCACAAGGTGCCAGTGCAATGAACAAATTCATGATAAAATGATACTCCTTGCCCACTATCGCTTGAACACACCTACTCATCGTAGTTTCAGCGCACAACCTTGCCACAACAACGGTTCATAGTGTGTAGCGGCCTAGTCGCCCCGCCGGCCAGTGCGATATTTTGCCATAATAACCACCGATCACGAATTGGTACCACTCTCAAACTCGACCCAGCTGCTAAGCCGTTCAGCGCGTGCCGCTCGGGCGATAATTCTACGTGTGGGACCCAAGGACCTGAATGTTTACTTGCGGGTAGCTATTGGCACTATCATAGCCATAGGAAAATATGGGGGTGATAGATGGTCAGCGATGTCATACTAGCTTAGCGTTTTGAATACGTATATATAGTCAACGCCAAACAAAGTGGCGTGCACGTCATCAAGGTGGGTGTGTTGAAAAATTTACATTGTTGCCAAACTTTTTGTAAAATAATAAAATTTATTATTTACATATCTAGGTTTATAAGCAATATTAACCTCAAATGAGAACAAAAATAATAGTATAATAAAATTATAGATCTGTACTTGCATAATCATTAAGTATGACAATTATTGATCAGATGACACTATGAAACTACCATATTTAATTGATAGCTTAAAGGTACTGAATAAAAATCCAAATGGGGTCCTCCAAATTTTATGCATGGTATTTATTTTACAGAATTCATACAGAAAAATGCATTCTAAAATTAGGTAAGCTACTGGTGTAAGCTTTTTCTGTACAATAAAGTTAGTCGGAGTTTCTTTCTTCAGCGCTGTCTGAATCTGAATCTTCATCACTCTCAAAGTTGATTATTAAAGGTTCGATGTCTGGTCGATCAAAAATTCGTTCTCTTTCATACCATTTAAAAATTTCTTGCTCAGTATGTCGAACACTATTTTTCCACATGTCTGGGGTAACCGTTTGTAGAGCCTCGTTCCACATATCCAAACAGTCTTTTTCACTGTTACCATCTCTACCAATATGTCTGTTATAGTAACCTTTTGCTATGCCCCAAATTAACTCAATAGGGTTAAATATACAATGATAAGGAGGCAGACGAAGAACTTTGTGCCCATGTTGTTCCGCCAATTCATCAATCACGTATATTTTAGGTGGTTTGTTTCTAAAAAAGCAGTTATTTTAAGAATAGGAATAAACAAAAGAAATATAAACTGTCGACCAAAATATATATAATTAAGAAGCATTATGTACCGAGCAACAATACTCAATAGCTCTGTTTTAAACATTGTGTTTAAAAATGGTATGTTTTGATTTGTCAACCAGTCTTGGATATTTTTTTTTGTCCATGCTTTGTTGGGCACTTTGTTCAATATCATGCTGTGATAAGGGGCGTTATCCAGTATAATCATAGATGGACTCTCCAATTTTTCCAATAACTGATGTTGAAACCATTTCAAAAAATTGTCCTGGTTCATCTCTCCATGGTAATCGCTCAATTTTTTTTTCGAAGAAAATATCGCTTCACTACCCTCAATAAACCCATTTTCATTTCCAGCATGTAATATAATGTATCTAAAATATATTAGTTTTAAATTTTATAGTGCAAATTGTGTAAAAGTACATACCTTTTACCATCTGTTTTAATAGCTTTCACGCTTTTTTGGTTTGCATTTTGCCAAGAGCGACCTATGGTCCCATTTTGAAATATCCAAGTTTCATCGAGGAAGACAAACTGGTATAAGGCCTCAACCTTGGCTTGATTGTATTGCCTTAGAAATTCCACCCTTTTCAAAGCTATACTTGGTAGTTCCATGAGCCCTCGTCGCGGATTGTCCTTAAGCCACTTAAATCCAAGATCTCTAAGCAACCGCCTTAAAGACGTGGCACTACCATCAAATAATGCCCTATCTCTTAATCGAGACCATAAAGTTTGTATCGTAACTTGTTCTTCTGAAACCATGTGTAATATGACATTATAATTTAGTTAACAAATTAATGCAAATTTCTGATAAGTTATTATAATAAGATCTTACTTTTGTGATACATATTATAGATCACTTCTCGAATGGCACTTGTATCCAATGTCGCTGTGTTGGTTACACGTTTAATATAACTCCGCTTTTTCTTGGGCGATTCTAAATTTGCATCACTTTTCACACCCTCGGAAATACGACTAACTGTCCTTAAACTAATTTTTAAAGCAGCAGCAACACGCTACAAAAAATGAAATAAAATTTCACTATTATTAATATACATTACATATAATTATTAGTAACCTACCTCTTGAACAGCATTTAAAGGCAACAAAGGCCCGTTGTTATCCCTTTCTTGCTCAAAGTAGTGCATTAACGAGGCCACGAGTTCCTTACACCGACTATTTAACTGTTTGGGCATCTTTATATACCAAAATTGCCTTTATCTACTCGTAAAATGAATAATTTTGTTTTGAAACAAACAGTTGTTGATTTACAGTATGCGGGGCCAAAGGATTTATAAAGATTTGAAATGCCACAAATTGATTCAGTGTCAAAATTAATACAAATGTCAGTTCCCAGTTTAAATAAGTTTCAAGGTGACAATGTGTCAACGCTGCGAAATCGGTTTAGTGCGTTTACATGTCGATAAGTGATTGGAGCGTTTGCAAAACATTTTATTTCGCATAATGCGTCTAAATTTATCAGAAAGCAACTTATGTGATATTTTAATAACAATGTTTATATGACTATTAACCATAATAAGAGAGTAATGACCATTTTACAATTTATATATCACATTAATATGAAACTGCAATAGAGCAATTGTTTGTGATAGAAACCTAGGCATTAGGTCGGGGAATTTTTATCGTGATGACGTGCACGCCACTTTGTTTGGCATTGACTATATATATATATATATATATATATATATAGGTGAAAAATTAAAGCTTCTGCCTTTTGTTGGGTACTTCGACAAAATTCAAGCAGAGGACTCTTTATACTTTTTTAATTCTCTGTAGCTTTCTATGGACTTTGCCATCATCATCAGGAGAGTAGTATGTGAGGATGTTGCTAATTGTTGTTTACGAATAGGATGAGGGAAACGTCCAGTAACATGGTGAGAGCTGGATAGATGGTACAATGGTCAAAATTATATAAAATATGACAAGAACAAGTTAAAAACAGATTAAAAATTATTTAAAAAACATTAGAGCATTACATCGTGAAGCCACTTGATGATTGCACTGTTAAAGTTGTTAAATTTCGTGTAACTTATTGAGAAGCCTTTTTGTGATTGCTCAAACTGCCTAGAGTGCGTAGAATTCGCCGGGTGTCCCATCTAAGTGACTTTGAGAGGGGTCAAAGTGTCGGGCTTCGTGAAGCCGGTCTATCGATAAGAGAAGTATCTAGGAGGACCAACAGATCCTTGCACAGTATACTGCAGTGTGAACGAGCGTGGACTCAGGAAGGTCGAGGACAGCAAGCGAGGGGTTCTGGACGTCCCAGAGGAACCACAGAGCGACAAGACCGCTGGTTACGACTTCTGGCTCTGAGAGACAGATTCAGTAGTACTCGATACTCGATGGTTGGTATGCTTACGGTATAACGCTGAATACGACAGTTTGACCTTTTTTTCTTATCGCCCACATTGGGTGCTACCTCTCACAGGTTAACATCGGCGTAACCGTTTGCTCTGGTGTAGAGAAAGAATTCTATGGGACCGGGAATGGAATGAGGTGGTCTTTAGTGACGAATCCCGCTTCTATCTGGGGATGCACGATGGACGGTCAAGAGTGAGAAGGCGACGTGGTGAAAGATGTAACCCACAATTTGACAGAGAGCGTCATGTTCACCACACCGTGGGAGTTATGGTATGGTACCAGATCACCACTAATTTTAATCAGAGGCAATATGACATCTCATTCTATACCTGAACACCATCCAAAACCCGATTTCTCAGCAAGGCAATGCCAGATCGCATGTTGTCAGAGCATTGTTAGCCTTCATGGATCAACATCGCATCAACCGTTTACCTTGGCCACCACGATCGCCTAACCTTTCTCCAATTGAACATGTGTGGGACATGATAGGTGGCAGGCTAGAGTTTGCAACACCATCCATAGACTTTAGCAGCTCTTGCTCACGAAGTTGCAGTAGCCTGGCATGAGATACGCCAACAGGATATCGACCACCTTATCAGCACGATGCCCAGTTGTGTCAATGAGTGTATAAGGAATCGTTGATCCTCAACACATTATTGAACCAGCTTCTGCAGTCAGTTGACGAATCAAGCTGAAAATTTAATCATTTTGCTAGTAAGGGACACTAAACATATATGCCAAAATAAAATCGGATAAACATACGTAGGTGTTTACCTTTTTTGTCATTCAGTATATACAGGGTGACTTTGAAGTTGAGCCATTAATTTTCAGATAATGATTGTAGAAGGAAGATAAACCAAAATATGTGAGTAAAAATTAAAAAAAATGTTACCTTGTTTTATAAAATATAATCCCGACAAGTATTTCAGTGCGGACCTGTATTTGATCGTGCGGTCTTGGAGCACCGGCATACCCTCCCGTGTGAGGACTTAAGTCACCTGATTCACGAGTCCTTTGTACTACATTAACAAAGGCACTAGGGGTTGGTTGCACTCGATTGGGAAACCTATCCGCATAAATCCGTGTTGCCGTGGCAGCATTTTGTAAAGACTCCCCCCCCCCACAAGTTCAGCATTTTCGTAAACATGTGCCATTTTTGATTTCGTTTGCGCCACGCAACAGACACCACTATTCACTCACGCGTTACCGACTGACACTGACTGACAAATTCTTTCGCTTTTTTGTTTCCGATGCGATGAACCGATAAGGCGGATTATATCCGTTGTTGCCAAACACGAGCACATAATATTATTATTGAGACAGGGCGGTACTCAAACTTCCAAAGGGCTAAAACTTTGTTACTTTAATTTTACCAGAAAAATGTTAAAGGAAAAAACATTTCTTTTGATCAGATCTACGCACTGTTAAAATAAATGACTCAACTTCGAAGTATATGAATTACCTCACTAGTAATATTGCAGTATTTTTTTTATTTCATTTTCCATTGCCTTTTCTCTTTTGTGTCCTATTTGTAAATGAGCTGTTTGTATTGTATCATACATTTCACTTGCTGCACGATAAAAAATTAAACCTGATTGGTTTCCTAAATGTTCTTTGTTAACTAGTTTATCTTTTTCGCCAACTGTTAATAGATCATATCAATCTACGATATTGTTTGGATGATAATTCGAGCCCATCCCGTTTCCTTTGAAGTGCCACTTTTGCCTCATTTACAATTTCTAAATAACGTTCATCTGATAATAACAAAGACCTGTCTTATTTCTCTGACATTAATTCCCATAATCTTTGTTCAAATTAGGATTTCATCTTGGAATATTCTCGAAGACACACACATTGAATCACCAGACTTAAAAATTCACTTCTACCCCTTATCTATCCGTACGTGTGACAGACTGTCTCCGGCAATTCACCTCCAACACATTCTGAATAAATCTTAATACTCAAAACGCGACGTAGGCAAAATAAATGCTTTACAACGCGAAATGGTGTAAAAGCGCGCTAAAACTTCATTCGCGTTGTGGGTGATGAAATGTATCCACAACGCGAAATGGCCAATTCTCTTTACTCAGTGCTCGGCAAAACAATATCTGGTCGCATCGTAGGTAAATTACTATACCCATAACGCGATGTGTGCAAAAAAATCGGGCAGTCTGCGATTTCGGCTGTTGCGAATAACATTATCACCAATTCTAGCAGAATATGTAACGGATGACCTGCTTGATATTGTTGTTCGCGTATTACCCTATGACCTATTCTACATAAAAAAATACGTAGACCTCATTGTTTGTCCCGCTTCTGAATGTGTGGATTGTATTGTTGATGGATTTAATAGCTATGATCCATATATTCAATTGCCTATAGAAAATGAGGACGAAAATCAATCAGTTCCATTCCTGTTACTAAAAAATCATCCGAAATAATAATATCTTATTGGTAGACTGGTACAGGAAACCTATGTAGTCAGGTTCCTAAATTTCAGGTCTTAACATAAACTTAAAGTAAAGGGAAATTTGGAGAAACAAATGAAAACAAGGGTTATTGGCATTTCTGACAATACTTTCCATCTTTCAAATTTACGAAAACTCTCAACGTTGTTCATTAATATTGGTTATTCCAGGAACCTGATTAACAGAATTTTGTTGAGCTCTCCTAATGCTACACCGATCTTACACAACAATGATAACAGTAATCCCAACCCCTCCAACAATTCTACTGACAATCATTCCAATAATAACAATACTGATGTTCCCTCAAATTCCAGAATCAATTTTGGAGTCCTGCCATATATTAAGGACGTATCTCCGAAATTGCAGCTCTTTAAATTGTGGTATTGCTTACAAATTAGCTCTCACAGTTAACAGTGTCTTTTCCAAATTGAAAGATAGAGTTCCTTTGCTTAGTTTATCCAATATTGTCTATTCCATCAATTGTAATAACTGTAATCTTACACATATAGGTCAAACTTCTATATCGTTAAAAGGTAGAATAACCTCACATAAAAGAGATTCAAGATTGCATCCAGAAAGATGTGCTTTGGCTTCACATGTTAACACTACCGGACATTGTATAGGTTATAATGCCATTGAAGTCCTTGACAGAGAAAACCACCTATCAAAACGTTAGTTTCTAGAAATTTCTCACATTTTTATGACAGACAATTTTATGAACAAAAAGGGATATGTCAAGCAGCTTAGCGTCATTTATTCATATTTGTTTAACTGCGAAAGATTGGAAAGATATCATGTCTTTCCCAATATTGATCTACCTCAATTATTATAACAATCACATAATTTCACTTTCTAGAAAAATTTTCCCCCTATCTATCTTTTATCGGCAAGTTTAGAATTTATTCGCGTTACCTAACAAGGTTTAAAGGATAACATTTAAAATGCATTCCCTCCATAACATTTATTAATTTTGAAAATCATTTTTGAACATCTTGTACCATAACGAACACTTCTCTTAATACCACACGTAATCCCTATAAGGTAGGCAACACATGTAACGAGGTGATTTTTAATCAATCGTACATAAATAATGTCAATTTCACACGTCACTGTCGGCCTGCTGAACACGTGGTGAAGATGTAGAGGTTCTAGAAAATATGTATTTTCAAAAAGGTTTTCAAAAATTAATCTTCAATTCTTTTAAATCTGTTAGTGGTTTTTTTGAAAAACTTAGCTATGGTTTTCCAGTGATTTATGAATAGTTTTCCTAATCGAACCTTATAAATCCAGTCTTTCGATCGTTTTACTATGTGTTCTCACCCACTTTCTTCTAAGAACAATTTCAGCAACAATCTCGCCGACTTGGTAAGTAATAATTGTTTATTGTTGCTATTTCCAAATTTTGTTTTTAGCTCCTGATGATGATGGCAGATACCATTGAAAACTTGAGTGTTAAGTTAAGAGAGTGTACTTTGCAAAAACTTGCCGAGTTCCCAAAGAAATATCAAGTATCATTGTCAAGTTTTAAAGTTAACCTACCTCTATGTGGTTTCAAGTATTGGTCAACTCGGTCGTTTGGATAGATCCCAGAACTGATAGAAGCACTTATCGGCCGTTCAAGTCCGAATCACCCCCATCTATTCCATTTTTTCAGTTTGATTTAAGATTTCTTCTGATTTTTGAGAAATTTTCGAGTTCTGAGCTTATTTTGGTCATAACTTCTTAACTAAGTATCATGAATGCCTTTTTTCTTTATTATTTAGCTAAAACTTGAGGCTTAACTATCATAAGTACAGTTAAATCAGGTAATTAATACCACATTTTAAAATAAAAAAAAACATGGTGCATAACAAAAAAGTCATAGATAAAGTCCAATAATTGTGAACGTTTTTTTAAAATAGAATTCATTAGTGTCTTAAACATTTCTTTATCTGATAAGATAATTTTAGTTCATGTAGTACGTAACATTTAATAACTCATTTTTCAATAGAGATGGTTAGTTACTAGCAAAACTATTCTAAAAACTGCAAGAACATTTCAAAAATACTTATCTTTGGTAGACAATCCTTGCGTCCTTCACCTCGCGATATGTGCACCGCTGAACAGGTAGGTGTTACAAAGGAAAACTTGCGTCGATGAACTAGTACTAGAGCGGGATCGTATTTGCTGAATTGAAACTCCTTGCCTTCCGTCTCTGTAACCATGCCCAACTGCATACACTGTTGTTTCATGTTTTTTAGCAATCATCACTACATTATAGGCCTCCTCGTGTGGAGATAGACTAACGGAATGTAGACGGGCGGGTATGATCTACAGAGAAACTCAGTATGTTGTGCGCTAAGATACATTTTCGGCCCATACGCTGAAAATGGCCTCTACGCCTCAGGACTAGCCTAGGCCAATGATGTATCAAGCTTTGGCTAACGATCTGTAGGTGGTTGTGGCTCGTTAAAATTCCGTTTGCCTATTTCCACACGAATAGACCTATAAGGTACAGATGATTGCTAAAAAAACATGAAACACTATTGTAGGCGGTTGGTCATGGTTACAGAGACTAAAACCAGAGAAATTGAATTCAGCCAATACTAGTAATCAAAAATTACCCCCATCTTGCTCTAGTACTAGTTCTCTGAAGCAAGTACTCTTTTCTAACGCCTACCTGTCCAGCAGTTACCGCGTAGTGAATGACGCAAGGATTGTCTACCAAAGATAAGTATTTTTGAAATGTCCTTGTAGTTTTTAGAATTGTTTTTTTAACAATCTCTATTGAATAATGAGTTGACAAATTTTAGACTCAGTTCTACTTGAACCAAATGTAGAATTGTATGTAGTATCGATAGATATATCGATGCACTTTTTATAGTTAAAAGCTGATAAACTAAAGAAGTTTTTAAGACAGTAAAGAATGGGAAAAATATTTTTATATTTTTAAAAATCGTTCAAAGTTGTTGGACTTTTTCACTTGTTTAGCTTCAAGTTTTAACTCAATAATAAAGAAAAAGCAGACATTTGTGTTGGTCATTTACCAAAATAAGCTCAGGACTCGAAAATACTAAAATCATAACTCCTAAATTTAAAAAAAAATCGATAATCTACATGGTATGATTCGGATTTCCCAAGTGTGCTCTACCTTTGGGCTTCGGCTTATCACAGATTTTTGAATTCATGAGTTTAGAAAACAAGCAAGTAGATTCTCAAAACGCTTTTTTCATCTCTATTATTTACTTAAAGTTCCTGTATCACATTTCAGGTCGCTTAAAAATGATGCCAGCTTATTGTCGGATTATAGTTTGGTGCAGTCTTTCATCATTAGACATTTATATGTTTTCAAAACATGCTTGATAGAGCTTGATTTTTGTTATGATGATACTTACTTAGACAATATGGAAGAAATTATGACGTTCTACTCGAACTTGACATTGAATTTGTTGCCAAAGTGGAGACCGGAGGAGAACTATAAAAGACATCTGAACCCGATTTGTCGCAAATTAATCTATTACATTAGGTTGTATCTGTTGTGTAGAGAAGATCGATGTTTGCATGTTCTTATGAAATTGAAAATCAACGAAAATTCTAAAGAACACAGGCATTTCATGAATCATCTATATAGGTAATTTATATTTTGTATTAAATACTCACAAGTTGAGTTATAACTTGATATATATATATATATATATACACGTATAAATACGAGCCCCTTCCCACTTCAGTTGGCGCAACTATTGAAATCTTAGTTTTTTTTTATCAAACACAAATAATAAAAATGTAGCAGGGTGTTATAGGTTTAAAATATTAACAATGAATATTTTGATAATATATAGTAGAAAACACCAACTGTATCACTCCCTAATCAAATTTGCAGCATAAAAATAACACATGTTGCAATTACAGCATATCAACCTATTTTCATTTCAATGCAAAATAAGTGTATAACTCATAGGTGGCTGTGAAAAATAAAAGCCATGACAATTGTTTTTATTAATCACAGCTGTCAGAATATGTTTAAAATAGTTTTGGGTAGTTAAGGTTTTCAAAATGGGTAGAAGAAAGGTTATTAGTGAGAAAGTTCGGTTACTGATGATTAATTTTTTTAATTCTGGGAAAGCAAACTCAGAAATTGTTAGACTTTGTTAGACTTATCGCGGTACAGTGTGAGAAGTATTGTTAGAAGATATAACGTAACTGGTTCAGTTAATATTAAGCCACGATATGTGAAAAAAAGTAATATCACAAATGCCGACCGAAGAGCATTAAGAAGAATAATCGTGAACAACAGGCGTGCCAATTATTTACAATTAAGTGCTCTGTGGAGTGACGCCGTTGGAAGGAGAATTTCGAGGTCCACAACTCGTAGAGAGGCCCACAAACTGGGATTTAGCACTTGCAAGGTAAGTTTTCTTATAAAAAAAGTGAAGTAAAAACCCTAAAGTTGCACAACTTGTTTATAGGCCTAAGAAAAGCCACTATTAACTCCACTGCAAAAGAAAAATCGGCTTAGATGGGCTAAAGAACATAGACAATGAACACCTCAACAGTGGTGTGCAGTACAATGGAGTGATGAGGCCCGATTCGAAGTTTGTGTTGGTGACAGTCGCAGTAGAGTTATTCGCAAAAAAAATGAATTCCATGTTGACTGTCTGAAGAGAAAAGTGAAATTTCCAGCATCCATTATGGTCTGTGGCAGTATGTCATCAAAAGGAGTAGGAAAACTTCATTTTATTGACGGAAATGTGGATACAAACAAATATTTGGCAATTTAAGAAGAATTGCTTTTACTAGTGATGGAAGAATGTTTGGCATCCGGCCAAGATTTTGTGTTTCAGCAAGATGGTGCAGCGTGCCATACCTCAAAAAAGGCTATAAAATGGATGGAAGAAAATAATGTACCTCTTTTGAAATGGGTTTCTAGCATTCCAGATCTGTCACCTATTGAAAAGTGGTACGAGATGAAAAAGGTTCTACGACAAATTCCTGCTCGTACAATCACCGAACTGAGACAAAAACTTCAAGAAATATGGGATTGTTTTGCACCAAATTTTTGCCAAAACTTGGTTAACACTGCCCCAAAGAATTTCAGCCGTAATAAAAAATAAAGGTGATGTTACCCAATGGTAATCTTTCAATTGTTGCTTTGTTAACTTCGCGCATTTATTCGCACATTGTTTATTTGTTCAGATGTTCTATTAGTTATAGGTCTAAGTGATTTCAAATATATATTTTTTACGACTAGAGTGTATCTAAAATGTTTTTGAGAAAATAAATTGTTTTAGAAGTAAATAGTTTCGTCATGTTTAGTTTATAAATTCATATTTTGGTACAAATCTTGAAGTGGGTCAACTGAAGTGGTAAGGGGCTCGTACGAGTATATAAATATTTCAAAAATGTCCCCCAATTACTTTTAGAACGGATCAAATTAGTGAACAGAAATTAAAAGTGCTGAAATTTATGTGGAAATGTATTTTAGAACCCAGCCACCATCTTGCTTACTTGACCCGGTTGAAAAATGTGTGTGGGGAGATCTCTTTAAAACGCACTGTATAACTAATTCATTCCTTGTAGAGCGTTCTTCTTGAGGAGGAAGCCAGAGGAGAAGACAGATCTAGCATTTTGTCGAGCATATATCTTATTCCAGCAGTGGAAGAAGATCAAAGACGAATCGACCTGGAAGCATATGGATGAAACTATGTATAGCTTGTTTGACAGAACTGTGGAAGATGTGAAGACAAATGAAACTTTGAAGCGAGTTATACTACCTCAAAATAATTATATTTTGGATGCGCTGGCCCATATAGATAATAATAACGTTATGATAAGAGAATACTTCAAAATCAGGCAAACGGAAAGCATTCAAGACTTCAGTAACTTAAGTGACTTTGAAATAGATAGAATCGATCCTGCAGCGGTAAGAATTATTTGAGTGGCATTTACTCATTATATGTAACAACTAAAAGTAAAGTTATCTAAAATTTTATTACATTATTGCAACTTGTCAGGTTGTCTAAATTTTAATTTGCTCATTCTGCGCGTCACCATATACTTTTAAGAAAATGGCTTCAAGTTGATTCTGCCCTTACCACACAATGCTGTTCGGTACAAGTAAGCCTCTTTGAGAAAAAAATAGCTACATATATAATAAAAAATAAAATGGATCAAGTCAGTCAAACGTGCCCACAATTATATATAGAAATGTCTCCCCTGCCTTACTGACAGCACCGACGGAAATGAGTGACATGGTTTTTCGTGATATGTACACATATTTCAAAAATTTTCCGTGATTATAATATTTCCTCGCCAGTGGCGAGGGAAGTATATTATATTATTATACTGGGCGATTCACAAGTCGTGACCAAAAATGAAATATCTTCTGTGTAACATTTTTTTCTCGAGGGGTTCATTAAAATACGGGATGTTGAAATTTAAAAATAAATATCTTCAAAACTGTCCACTGGAATGAACTAAAATTTGGTATGTGGATTTACCTAAGTATTGTCCACATTCAAAAGTATTTACTTAAAATAACGTGCACCAGTGGCGGAGATACTGCGGATTAGTGGCATTGTTTCCAAATAAAAATAGTACGTCACTGTTTTTTTTTTCGAAACGCCCAATTTTTCGAATTTTACCTTCAATTTGCTAAAATCGATGTTAGGTCGATTTGTTACATTCATTATTTTTTCATAACTAGGAGCAATTTGCAATGTGAACATTAGCTGCATGCTGTGGTATAACATTGTGGAAATATATGTGACTTGAGTGATGAGTGAACTGGGTGAACGCAGTCTACGAAAATATTATTTTCGAAAATACTTTTTCCTAACAGTGCATAATCTTTTCAAAGTGTGAAAGCATCATTGTAGTTTACTATCCAAGGACTATAATATTGAATTCCGTTAGTTTTTAATCAATTTGAAATCTATGCTTATCCATATTAACAGTTTGTTTGCAATAACTTTTTTATTAATCCACAGATTGACATCGGCCAGGTCTCAGATCTGTAATAAAAAACTACAAAACTTTTAGATTGAACATTTTTTGCGTAAAAAATCGCTTTTTTAGAAAAACAAAATTGTTGCATTTTAGTTGCATTTGCATCATCATATTTTTATCCAACTTTTCCATATAGTCGCGTGCAGTGTTTAATTTTGGCACCACCAAACTTGATTGTTAGTATATTTCACGGACTGACTTGGACTAAAATGTATGTAGTTGGTTGAAACAACCGCTGTTAGTATAAAACATACGATCACATCCAGTTACAAGTATCAGATCACTATAGGTAAATAATATTAATATCAATATAATATTATTAATCGTTATTAATATTACAATAAAACTTATGAAAATTATATTTGATCTATTGAAGAACGGTGTCAAGCAGATTAATCCCATAACTCACATGTAATCAATTGTGGGATCCAACACGGGAAGTGCCGCTTTTGCTTTATATAGGCGAGCGTTGATATTAAATCTTGTTTGACTGTCTGTTGTTAAGGTCAGCTAGAGATTAACTTATTAATTCGCGTTTTGGCATCATCTCTCTCGATTTTAATAACATTTCGGTGTTTTCGCGCCAACACTGAAGAACAATTTACATCATGTGGGTTTGACCAGCGTAGAGACTTTAATGAGGCTTACTGGCTTGTGATGTGGTACTGATTCACTTTTCATTTAAATTTTGTATGTTCTAGGATAAGACAGAAGATCCAGACTTAGATGAGTATTACATGAATTATCGGAAATCAATGGCCGAGGTCTCCAGAAGTACCTCTTCTGAATTAATAGAAGAAAACGATTCTGATGACGATTGCCATTTTGTGGGAGTTATATATAATCCCACAGAAATTATACATGAAATTCTTGATGACGATCAGATTGAAGACATGATATCCACGAAAAGTAGTACTGTAAGTATTTTTATTTATTCTGTATACACCTCAAATATGCTAATGATATTTAGTTTTCTCAAACTCTCTGCACTGATTTTGACACGTCTCAGTAAAACTACCGGTATCACTTTTACACTAAGGATGCACCGAGTACTTTTTTTCAAATAGCCGAGTATCGGGTACTCAGCACGAGCGTTTTCAAATGGTATCTTTATTCCAAAAGCTTATTTACTTTTGAAAGAAATAAACGTACCATAAAAACAGTTGTGAAACTTATACTATTTTTTCTGAGTATATAGCTATAGGTTAGTGTATTTAGCATTCTTTCTTAGGTATGTTTTTTCACTGTGGAATTCATCAGTGACTGTATAAAGTTTAAAGTGAAACCATATTTATATTTATATTTATATTTTGTGTTCACATTATTGGAACATATGATATATATATATATATATATACAGGGTGACTTCGAAGTTGAGTCATTTATTTTAACAGTGAGTAGATCTGATCAAAAGAAATGTTTTTTTCCTTTACCATTTTTCTGGCAAAATTAAAGTAACAAAGTTATAGCCCTTTGGAAGTTTGAGTACCGCCCTGTCTCAATGTGCTCGTGTTTGGCGACAACGGATATAATCCGTCGTATCGGTTCATCGCATCGGAAACAAAAAAGCGAAAGAATTTGGAACGAATTATTTCATTCATTTGTATACAGTAAGTGTCAGTGAATAGTTGTATCTGTTGCGTGGCTCAAACGAAGTGCCTTTGTTAATGTAGTACAACGGGCTCGTGAATCAGGTGACTTAAGACCTCACAGGGGACCTCACGATCAAATACAGGTCCGCACTGAAATACTTGTCGGGAGGATACTTTATAAAACAAGGTAAAAATTTTTTTTTAATTTTTTTTCTATTTTTACACACATATTTTGGTTTATATTCCTTCTACAATCATTATCTGAAAATTAATGACTCAACTTCAAAGTCACCCTGTATATATATATATTTCAATCTATCCATACAATTGAAGGCACCTAAAAGGTATATGCTCGACATGACGACTTCTTCATTCTTGTTGATTTCCTATATTAAATAGCATATTGCCTGGAAATACAATTAGTAGACAACAGATTATTCCTACCCTACAAAATCTCAGTCGCTTGTGATCACTACTCGACCACACAATAACGAATGGGCACAACCAATTAAATTCCTTGGTCTGTTCACCTAGATTCAAAATTGAAGCTAACGTCAATACGTTGACAAAACTTTCTACACTACTATATGTATTCCAGAGCTTGGATAACTATGTATCTAAAACAGTGTTAATAACAGCGTTTCAGGCAATTTTCATGGCTTTTTCTGCTAAGGGTATTCATTCTTTACATTGAGCCAGAAGTCGATTAAAGAATGATCTGCAAAAACAGCTTTTAGAGAGTTGTCAGGGGATATATCAATAAGCTTTTCTTTTTCCAATAAAGATGAAGTGTTAGAAATTATATCTCCTTCAAAAGGATTGCGTATCCAGTTGTTTTGAACGATAATTGAAGCTGTTTGAGATGTTCAGTAATATCTCTTTTAATGTTTTCGTTAAGTTGAATTTTATTTTCTGATAAAAAGCTGCTGAGATAACCAAAACAATGGTACTCATCCATCTGCAGACATTGAGTCCAAAAGTTGAACTTCTTTAGCATTCTATTATGGACATTGAAAATGGTGATTCCTGAACCTTGTAAAGACATATTTAGGACATTTAATTTAGAAAAAAATATCAGCTAAGTAGTCCAAAGGATTATTCACAAGCATAGGTAAAATCCATATCACCTATGCTTGCATCAAGGCGTTCGTCCTCAGGATTTCGCAGCTCGAATGGATTTAGTAGAATAATGCTAAATAAAGTGAGTGAAGACACTTCTTTCCTGGATAAGGTTCTTTTTAGCGATGAGGCAACTTTTAACAGCATAGGTGTTGTCAACAGGCATAACAAGCACTATTATGCGACGGAATACCATTACTGGGTTAGGCAAATAGATTTCCAAAATAAATGTAGCTTGAATGTTTGTGGGGGAGTTATTAGCAGACAAGTTATCGGGCCTTTCTTTTTCGATGAAAGATTCTCAGGTATAGTATACTTGGATTTTTTGATCGAGCATTTGCGTTTGCTTTTGGAGGATGTCAACTTGCAAACTCGGATGCATATGTACTTCCAACATGACGGCGCACCTGCGCATTATCATAATCGTGTGCGTAACTATTTGGACACCTGGAGTAACAATCGTTGGATCGGTCGTGATGGGCCTATAACTTGGCCTCCTAGATCACCAGATATGACACCGATGGACTTCTCTCTATGGGGCTACGTTAAGCAAGAGGTTTATAGATATCCACCATCTACCCCGGAAAATATGAAGGAAAGGATTAAGGATGCTTTTCTTAACATAAGGGAGCACTTGCTCAGGGATGTGCAAGGGTCATTTATCCAAAGACTACGGCTGTGTATTCAACATGGTGGTTGTTTGTTTATGTTGTTGTTATAGTTGTTTTTCTCTATTATGCTTGAAGCTGATTTATACTGTTCTGATTGTTATTAATTTCTACGTCAAATCTGTACTCTTAGTGGCAATATGGAAATAGCCCACTGTTTGTCTTTTGTTTCCATGGATGATGTGATATTTTTCCTAATTTTGGTATTGTTATATTAAAGGCTTAATAACTCAAAATCTAGTGATTTTATCTGAATCATACCTTATACAGTGGACCTCCGGTAATCCGACAAACATTATGCAGGGCAGTGTCGGACTATCGAATTTGTCGGATTATAGAGCACTGCCTAAGACCCCCTATAAACCGGAATTTTTTACAAAGAGTACCTTGTAATTCGACAAATTACGTATCCAATAGTAAGATTATATATGTTATGTATATGTATTTACTTTGAAGTACAAATCATACATAGTTTATGTATGTCGAATTTAGTAAATTAAATAACAATAGAGAGCTTACGTTTTATTATAAAATTAAGCATAAATGCACATACATATGTACCAAAATAATCAAGAATTATTAATCAAAATCATTAATGAATTTATCAAATTATAAAGCTTGGAAATATTCATCATTTTTTTTTGTTTAAGGTTGTTATAACGCGAGATCAGAGCTTTGTCCCTCAGTCTTCTCAAAAGTAAAAGTTCGTTGTAGGATGTACCATTCTCTTCAGCTCATTGTAAACCTATCTCAAAGGCGTTAATTCCGTCTTGTGCCGTGACTTGTGGAGCAGTTGCAATCACATCGTCGTTATTTTCGTGATTGTTTGTTGTATAATTAGAAACCTCTTTTATAATCTCTTCGTCAGACATTACATGAAAAACATTTTCCTCTTTATCCATTCCACGGCACCAGATTTCCAAATCTTCCGGACTTATCTGTGTTTCTGTAGTGACTTGTTCTATAACTTCCGAAGTTACACTGATTTGTGGAACATTGCTAGGAGTGGTGACTATATCTGGCCATAACTTTTTCCAAGTCGATTTAATAGTTGATGACGGTAACGCATTCCACGACTGACAAAGAGCAAAAACCAAGTCTTTCATATTAAATTCAAAGTTTTTTCTATTGGTTGGTCTTTTGATGCGGCTCTTAGAAGTAGGTTTTTGTTATAGTCTTGCTTGACAAACTGAATGATATTCTGGTCCATTGGTTGAATCAGTGCAGTGCAATTTGGCGGAAGAAACATCGCAGTGATACATTTATCCTCAGTTGTTAGTTCTTCTTCAGACGGATGACCGGGATCGTTATCAAGAAGCAACAACGCTTTTTGAAGAAAATTATGATCTTTTAACCATTTTCTAACTTCAGGTACGAAGCATTCATCAAATCACTTTTTGAAAAGGTCTTTTGTCATCCATGCATTTTTTGTCCGTAGTAGTGTACAGGTAAATCATGTTTTTGAATGCCCTTGGTTTATTAGATTTCCCAATGACCATCATCTTAAGCGCGTGTGTGCCCGCAGCGTTAGCACATGGTAGTATGGTTACACGCTCTTTACTTACTTTTCGTCCAGGTACGGATTTTTGGTTACAAGAAACGAAAGTTTTGTTAGGCATCACATGCCAAAAGGCCCTGATTCGTCTGCATTGTACACCTGTGACGGGTCAAGATTTAAATCGTTCGCCTTTTGCAAAAATCTCAATTTAAAGGGCTCTATGCAGGTGGCATCGTTAGAAAGTTTCTCTCCTGTCATAGTAATTAAACGTATGCCATGACGACTTTTAAAACGTTCTAGCCATCCTTTGCTGGCCACAAAATCATCTTTTTTTGTTATTTCCTTATAAAAAAACTTAGCTTTCATGGTCAACATGGGTCCTGAAATTGGTGCATGCACTGCATGCCTATTTCTTTCCTGAAGAAACCACATGTACAAAGCTTCTTCCACTTCTGGATGTTCAGCTTCCTTGAGTGTCTGTCTCTTGCCTGGCCCGCAGTCAGTAGTTGACACGAACTTCTTGATCTTCTCGTGGTTTCTTTTAATGTCATAAATTGTAGATCGGCCTTCGCCGTATTTACTTGCTAAACTACTGAATGTTTCATTGCGATTTAAGCGGTCTAAAAGATCACATTTTTCTTTAATTGTCAATGTTTTGTCCTTTCGCTTCTGAGTTTGTGATCACATTACTAGGTACTATACTTAATACACAATGAATAAATAGTAAACAATGAACTTACGCTACTCCGTACCGCTATCACAAGTAGTCAAATTTAAACTAAGTAGAACAATGCTTACGCGTCGAGCACTATAGCGCTGGCGCGTACAAGTTGTAACCTGTTCAAACCTGCGTGATCTACATTAGCGAAGATTGTCAAATACGTATGTATGTAAAACCTATTCAAAGACATGTCGGATTACAGGGGGCGCCGGATTAGACAGGGGCCGGATTATCGGGGGTCCGCTGTACCAAAAAAGCTTATAAAAAATTGAATCCAAACTTGCACAAATATTCAGGGTGATATGCATGTGAAATGTTT